TTGATATAAAGTATCTCACACACAAGTTTGCAGTAAATAAAAGAGCAGCAAATAGCAAGCAATCTCAACTCAGATTTCTTCTGCCTCTTCTACCCCAGAATCTCCTACCTCAGAATCCCAGCCCTTCCCAGCTACCCACTGACACGCTGTGCAACACCAGCCAGAACCACATAGAGGCCGGGATTCAGTTTTCCAGAGTCAGGTATGGTGGCATGTGCCTGTAACCTGGCGATTCGGAGGCTGAGGCAGCACGAGGGTGAGCTCAAAGCTGGCCTGGATAATATAATGAGATCCTGTGTGGAGGGGAAAAAATGTCAGCTGTGGTGGCAGTGACTGTAATCCCACTGGGAGGATGAGGCTGGAGGTTCATGACATGGTGAGATCGGTCTTTTTTTTTTTTTTTTTTTCCTACTTGCCAGAGAGAGACAAAGAGAGAGAGGAGGGTAGGGGAAAGCCCTGGGCAATGGGATGTGCTCACACTGCAATCAATCCCTTCTCCTCCATTTCCCTATCCTGCTGGGATTTGGGGCATGCACACACACCTGGCATGTTTTTCAATATGTCAGGCTGGGATTTGAACCGCAATGGACCATATGGACCCTGGCTGCCATGACCACTAGACAACATGGCCTGAAACCCCCTCTTTATATGTATTTATTTACTTTTGTTATAGGGTATATGTGCTTGGCAGAGTAAGACAGAAAAAGAGGTAAAGTGAGAAATCACCCTCTAGGATGAATTGCCATGCCACAATCTCTTCTCTGTTCTCCTCTAGGGTTTTTGGGCACGCACACACACACCTGGCATGATCTTCCAGATGCTGGGCCCAAAATTTACCTCATAGTCGGCAGTATCCAGCCACCTTAACTATCCTGCCATATGCTGACCAAACTCTTTATTCTTCTTTTTAAAGAACTTTATTTAATTTATTATCATTATTACTTTTTAATTTGCTATAGGGGATGTGCACTCACCAGAGAGAGAGAGAGAGAAAGAGAGAGAGAGAGAAGTGAGAAAGCAAGCCACAAGGTCCAAGACTCAAAATGCATAGGCCATGTGGGAGTCTAGTGCCTTAACCACCATGCCACCTGCTAGTCCCCAGCTCTCCTCTTTGTGCCGGAAGCATCTAATAAGGTAACAAAAGACATGGTGGCAGAAAAATAAAACCAAAGACCTTGTACTAAATAGGGATGATATAAGCCATTTCAGTTGTTTTATATTGTTCATTGAAAAGAGTATCAATTATGAATGAATCAAAGGGTTTTTCTTAATTTAAGGATCTAATTTTTTAAATAATTATTTATTTTTAATTAATTCATTCATTCATTCATTTATTTTAATTTGACCAGAAAGAGAGAGGGAAAGTGAGAAAGAAAGCCACCAGGTCCAGGAGTCAAACCATGGTCAGCCATGTGGGAATGTCCAGAGCCTTAACCACCATGCCACCTGCTGGTCCCCCTAAGGATCTAATTTTTAAAAAATTTTTAATTAAAAAAATTACCAAAGGGCAAGCATATTCATAAGACAGAGAAAGAGAGGAGAAAGCACTCCACAGTAGAGCAGGGCCACGCGGCAACCGCTCTCCTCCATCTCTATCCCATCAGGACACTGAATATGGCACACTTAGACATGCTCGGCATATTTTTTCTTTTCTTTCTTTCAATAGAGCTTTGCTATAGGGCACTTGTGCTTGCCAGAGAGACAGAGGCAGGCAGAGAAACGGGAAGCAAGAAATCATTCCCCCAGGGGGAATGGCAAGGGATTTGGGGCATGCACGCACACACACCCAGTGTGTTTTAAGCCGCTGGCTCAGGGATGTGAACTGTGGTCAACTACTTGGGAGTCCAGCAACATAACCATTACACCATCTGCTGGTCCCCAGCCTAGCATGTTTTTCAAGCCACTGGGCCACGTGAGATCTGGTTCCTTAACCATTAGACCATGAGTCTAGCCCAAGATCTCTATGTTGCAGGGAACAAAATGGCATATTTTTGTTTTTCTATGCAAAAATGCATCATGACTTTCCTGACAACATAATAATATTTAAGATTTTAACATTAATTACAAAGATCCATGTCATGGAATAACTTGCCTAAGAAACCTAGTCTTCACCTTTAAGGATGCAGAATTCAAGGTCAACAGGTGGCATGGCGGTTAAGGCGCTGGACTCCCACATGGCCAGCTGTGGTTTGAGTCCTGGACACGACAGCTTGAAAATCATGCTGGGAGTGTGTGATGCCCAAAATCCCAGGAAGAGAATGGAGAAGGAATTGTGGCATGGCCATCCCCCCTGAGGAGTGATTTCTCACTTTCCCTCTCACTATCTGTGTCTCTCTAGGGCAAGCACCATATGCCCAATGGCAAAAACCTTAAAAAATAAAAAATGCAAACTTGTGGGCCAGCCAGTGGCTTAGAAAACACACTAGACATATGTGTATGCATATCCAAGTTTCCAAAAGGAGAAATGGAGATGGGACTGCACTGTGGCGATGTCATATAGGAGATGTTTTCTCATTTTCTCACTCTCTCTTCGTCTCTCACCCAGTAAGCAGATACCCTCTAGCAAATTAAAAGTAAAAAAAAAATTTTTAATTCTGAAAAATTTACAGAAAAATAGCCCTGAACGATAAGCCAGCTGCTCTATACATCCCTTTTGTCCTGTATTTTTAGACTCAGAATAAGGTTGAAACATTCCTATTTGTTTCCTAGGGCTGTCAACACAAAGTACCACAAACTAGATGTCTTAAAACAATACAAGTTGGGGGCCAGCAGGTGGCATAGTGGTTAAGGGCGCTGGACTTCCACATGGCCACCTGTGGTTTAAGTCCCGGACCTGGTGGCTTGCCTTCTCACTTTCTCTCTCCCTTTTTCTGTCCCTCTGGTCAAACTAAAATAAATAAATTAAATAATTATTTATTTATTTATTTTGGGGAGAGGTTATTTTGCTACAGGGTGCATGTGCTCACCAGACAGACAGAGACAGAGAGACAGAAAGCGAGAAATCACCCCCCAGGGGGGATGGCCACGCCGCAATTCCTTCTCCTCCATTCTCCTCTTGGGATCTTGGGCACGCACGCACACACACCTGGTGTTGAGTTTTAAGTCACCGGGTCTGGGACTTGAATTGTGGTCGACTACATGGGAGTCCAGTGACATAGCCATTACTGGTCCCAGTGGTGTATAAATAAATAAATAAATAAATAAATAAATAAAAGTCCAATACAACAACTCTTTAAAAAGAAAACAGAAATTTATTTTTTTCACAGTCCTGGAGGCTGAAAACTTGAAACCCAGGTGTCGGAAGGACTCTGCCCTGAGTCTCTGGGTAGAATCCCTCTTCCCTCGTCCCAGCCTCTGGTGACGGCCCTTAGTCCTTGCGTCCTTGGCTTGTAGCTGCATCACTCCCATCTCTGTCACATGGTATTCTCCCCATTATCTGTCTTCACATGACAATTTCCTCTTCTCGTTTTTGCTACAGGGCTTGTGCGCTTGCCACAGAGACAGAGGCAGAGACAGAGGGAGAGGAGAAAGCAACCCCCATGGAGGATGATTATGCTGCAATCTCTCCTTTTCCAGCTCTCTCTGCTGTCATCATTTTGGGCCTGCACACATACCTGGCGTGTTTTATCAAGCTGCTAGATCCAGGACTCGAAAGTCCTGGTCAGCTCCATGGGATCCGACTACCTTAACTGTCAAGCCACAGAACTGGCCCATCATTTTTCTCTTCTTAGAAAGACAACAGTTATGGGGCGGCAGGTGGCATGGTAGTTAAGGGCGCTGAACTCCCACATGGCTGACCACGGTTCAAGTCCCAGACCTAGTAGTGGCTTGCTTCTCTCCCACTCACCCCCCCCCCCCCCGTCAAATATAAACAAACAAACAAACAAATAAGTTCAATAAAAATAATCCTAAAAAAAAAAAAAAAGAAAGACAACAGTTACATTGGCTGAAACTAATGTAAGACCTCCTCTTACAGATACTGGGGGTTAGGACTTCAGCATCTTCTCAGGGGACACAATTCAGCCCATGACAGTGCTCATTTACAGTTTTTCAGTTATTTAAAAATATGTTTTATAGGAACCAGTAGAGAAAAGAAGACACTTGAGCCTCATCTTTTTTTTTTTTTTTTTTTGAGAGATTTTCGTTATAGGGCGTGTGCTCACCAGACAGAGAGAGACATTAGAGACAGAAAGCGAGAAATCACCCCCCAGGGGGGATGGCCATGCCGCAATCCCTTCTCCTCCATTCTCCTCTCGGGATCTTGGGCACGCACGCACACGCGCCCGGCGTGAGTTTTAAGCCACCGGGTCCGGGACGCGAACCGTGGTTGACTATGTGGGAATCCAGCGACATAGCCATTATGCTAACTGCTGGTTCGCGGCATAATGGCTATGTTGCTGGACTTTCATGTAGTTGACCGAGGTTCGAGTCCCAGACCTGGTGACTTAAACTCACGCCAGGTGAGTGTACATGCGTATCCTGAGAGGAGAATGGAGAAGGGATTGGGATTGCAGTGTGGCCATCCCCCAGGCGGGTGATTTCTTGCTTTCTGTCTCTCTGTCTTTCTGGCAAGTGCACACGCCCTATAGCAAAAAGTTATATAGAGGCCAGCAGATGGCAGGTGGTTAAGGGTACTGGACTCCCACATGGCCAACTGCTGTTCTAGTACCAGACTAAGCAGCCTGCTTTCTCACTTTCCTCTCTCTCTCTCTTTCTGTCCCTCTCTGGTCAAATTAAAATAAATAAAGTAAAATAATTATTTTAAAAATATATATATTCTATAAGAAAAATGAAAGGTCAATTTTCATTAGGTTTCTCAAATTTCAGAAGTTTTTTGTATTTAGAGGTAAAGAACTTACTACAGTAAAAATCACAGATGTTATAATTTTATTAAGATACAATTCCAAAGAAACTTCAAACTTTAAATTTTAACTTAATAGAACTTAAAACAAATAGTACTCTCTGATATTCAGAGAAACATTAACTTGACACCAGAAGCATTCATTGTCAAAATTATTTATTATACTTAATTTATAATTCCCATTTGCTGACTCAAAGGAATTAACAAGATTAGAACAGCAAGAGACATTGCAAGTACTCTATCTCACATGGCATTACAAACCAAGTGACTTCCGAACCACATTCAAGAAGCTAATGATATGCTCTTTGGCAATTTTCAAGAAATAGTAATCAAACCATAATTCAATTCCGGGTACCAGTCAGTATCTACTGAGCACCTCCCTGTATAGTAGCATTGGGTCGGGTACCTAAGGACGGATAGTTTAACTGAATACATTTAAAAATATTTATTTAAGGCTTATAATCTTATTCCCAGAATGTTTGGCAGAGTTGTATTTTGAAGATCCTACTGCTGAGAAATGTGAGGTTCCTGTTGTCTCTCCTTCAGTCCCAAAAGCTCCGTTTTGAGTTCTCCAGGCTTTGGTGGAATTTCAGGTATTGTCTGCAAAAACCAAACCAAAACAGAAAACACAGATGCCAGTGCTTTCTTAGATAATGTGACCAGAGAGACTTTGAAGAACAAAACGTTCCCTCCTTCCTACTCAATGATAAATGTGGGTTTTTTTTTTTTTTTTTTTTTTTTTTAGAGGC